TCAAACTCGTCCTGAAGAAACTAAAGGAGTACAGCTTACTCCTCAAACCAGAGAAGTGCGAGTTCCATAAAAACCAAGTCGAATTCTTGGGTTACATTATTGGAACGCACGGCATCAAGATGGACCAAGCAAAAGTAACGGCAGTGTTGGAATGGCCAACACCGACCACGGTCAAGGAAGTGCAAGCCTTCCTAGGCTTCGCCAACTTCTACCGAAGATTCATCTCGGGATATTCCAAGGTAGCTCAACCACTCACGGAGCTTACCAGAAAGGATCTCGAATTCAAATGGACGGACAAGGCAGAGGCTGCTTTCCAGGAACTTAAGACGAAGTTCACGGAAGCACCTATCCTTGCTACATTTGACCCTGCAAAGAAGATCATCCTCGAAACGGACTCTTCTGACTTCGCAATTGGAGCATGTCTGAATCAACCAGACGAGAACGGTAAGTTCAAACCAATCGCGTACTACTCTAGGAAACTGTCACCCGCGGAACTCAATTACGACATCCACGACAAGGAGCTACTGGCTATTGTCGTTGCCTTTGAGCAGTGGCGAGTATATCTTGAGGGATCCACCTACCCTGTGCAGGTATGGACGGATCACAAGAACCTCATATACTTCACCACGACCAAGGTTTTAAACCGCAGACAAGTCCGCTGGGCAGAAACCCTCGCAGCCTACAACTTCACGATAACCTATCGCAAGGGCTCCGAGAATGCAAGAGCAGACGCTCTCAGCAGACGGACCGACTACGCCGGCCCAAAGGAAGAAAGACCTAGAGCAATTCTGAAGAAAACAGATGCAGGAATACAGTACAACGAGTTACTAGCGACGATCTCAGTCATCGAAGATACAGAACTCGAGGAAAGACTCAAGAAAGCTTACGCAACAGACGAATGCGCCAAGCGAGTCTTGTCCAAAGTCGAAGGCGACTTCGCCATCGACGAACAAGGATTGATTCGATACAAAGGGTTAGTGTATGTCCCAAGTCAAATGAGACGCCCGCTGGTGCAAGAACAACACTCGTTACCAGCACACGGTCATCAGGGAGTAACACGAACCTTCGAACGAATCACCCGACACTACTACTTCCCAGGTATGAGGAAGCAGGTAGAGACAGTGGTAAGAGAGTGCGACATTTGCAGCAAGTCAAAATCCAATAGGCATCTGCCATACGGACAACTCAAGTCGACACCAGTACCAAAAGGAGCGTGGAAATCAATAGCTTTGGACTTCATCGTCAAGCTTCCACCCTCCAAGGACTTGTTAACAGGAATAGAATACGACTCTATCCTCGCCATCACGGAAAGACTCACGAAATATGGGAAGTTTATACCATATCTAGAAGCTAGCGACGCCGAGGCGCTCGCATATACCTTCATTCGAGTCATATTAGCCGATCATGGGATGCCAGAAGAAATCATCTCAGATAGAGACAAGCTCTTTACTTCGAAATTCTGGAAATCATTGATGGCACTACTGGGAACAAATCATAAGCTATCAACAGCTTTTCATCCCCAGACAGACGGCCAAACAGAAAGATTAAATCAGACCCTTGAACAGTACCTGCGAAGCTATGTCAATCATCAACAGGATAACTGGGTTCAGATCTTACCCATCGCACAGTTTGCATATAACAGCGCTATGACAGAAGCAACGAAAGTCTCACCGTTCTTTGCCAATTATGGCTACCAGCCAGAAGCATATAGGCAACCAAGACCGGATGAATCACGAGCTGAACAAGCCCTGATCGTGGTGGAACAACTGAAATCGTTCCACGAACAACTTGCGACGGACATCCAATTCTTAAATGAACGATCCGCCGCATACGCAAACAAGAAGCGCAGTATGGAACCTGCCTTCAAGGAGGGGGATAAAGTATACCTACTCCGGAAACATATCAAAACGAAACGACCAAGCACAAAGTTGGACTTCAAGAAATTGGGACCATTCAAAATATTGAACAAAGTCAGCTCAGTTAATTACAGACTGCAGCTACCCAGGAAGTCTAGACTACACCCGGTATTTCATGTCTCACTACTGGAACCAGCAAGAGGAAATACCCCAATTGCGACCGACACCGAACTCCAACCCGAGAATGAGATAATCGAATATGAGGTCGAAGCGATCCTAGACAGAAGGTTAGTAGGACGTCGAGAAGAGTTTTTGATAAAATGGGAAAATTACGAACCTACGGATAATTCGTGGGAACCAACAAGGAACATCAGCAAAGAACTGCTGGAGGAATATCGACGCCGCCATCCGCCAGCCATTGATCCCAAGATGCAGGGGAGTAGGCCAGTGGATCGGAGGAAGTGGAGGTCCCGGTCACAGACGAGGAGGCAGCGCTAACTGCCTGTTCCTCGACCTCAACAGCGTCACGCTTCTCAGCAGCCACACGTTCGGCCTCCTCTGCCGCATCAAGCTCGTCGAGGGTTTTCAAACCTCGCCGGAGCATATCTTTACCACGGGTTCGGATGAGGCGTTTCTGCTTCCGCAGACGAAGTAACTTCGAAAGGGTTTCTTCCTCTTCGCGATCCAGGCGATCCTCCTCCCGTTCGAGCTTCACCCAGTCGGGATGCTCAGGACCCATACAGTCACACTTTTCTTTCAAGTTGCGACGAACGCACTCGGCGCACCGCCGTGAATCATTTGGAGACGACACGCAAGTAATGTTTCGCCTCACGCAGTTCGAGCAAGAATCCATTTCGGGTAGTTCGTATCCGTGGTTCTTTATTCGACGGACAAGATCGTTGCGTTCCTGGAGTTTGCGGGCAGTGTCAGTAGGCATGTTGCATGTTGAAGGACTTGCTGAGGAACAGCAGAGTCCCGGGGGCATGGACGTACTTATAGGATTCGAGACGAATGCCCAGGGGAAGGGAGCGAGTGTTACGACGGAACAAGAAGGCTGGCCAACTACAGGACAGGAAGGAGGGAGGTCGCATGAGACCGGCCCTGGTACCTGGAGGGGCAGCGGGGAATAGTAGTTCCGAAAGTATCACGTGATGGACTCGCAGGATGATGAGAAGAGTCCTAAGAGTCCAGGACTCCGAGGACTCGAGTGAGTTCCCAGGAGTCCACTAGGCACGTGATGGACTCGCAGGATGATGAGAAGAGTCCTAAGAGTCCAGGACTCTGAGGACTCGAGTGAGTTCCCAAGAGTCCACTAGGCACGACGCCACTATATAAGTAGATAGTATTTCCTTAGATAGGAGCTTCGTGCTCAACTCAATACAGTATTTGTTATATACTAGTAACATGTTACTTGAAGCCTTTGTGTCTGATCCCCTGCCTCCTCTGATAAGTAAACCTTTACGCAAGAGAACCTCTGTGTCTTCTATCGTTTAGAAGTCAGCGTTACATTACTGTCTTCTGATATTGCGGAGAGCCTTGGTGCCTATATGTTTATTAGAGAGTTCTGGTAATCCTCTGGTAATCCTCTGGTAATCCTCTTACCAGACTTTGCACGGTGCATGGCCTTCTGAGCATGATTGTTGCTAGCTTGAGATGAGCGAACTGGAGCTTTTCTTGCTGTCCACGGCCTTTTCCTTTCCCTTTCCACCAAGCCCATAGCCAGCCCATAATCCAAGTGGCATCCTTCGTGCTATGCCGCCAGTTGATCTCCTAGCAGTTTGCTTGGTACGAGCCATTTGCTAATATCAAGGTGAGTTAGTGAAGTAAACACAAGACAAAGAAGTAGATCAAAAGATATGTGTACATTACAGTGAGTTTGTAGGAAGAATATTGCAGAAGAAGAGTATAGAAAAGAGGTAGAGGTTAAAAGGTATGTGTTTTATATGAAGGTGCACGTTGTGGTGTTGTTTTTGGACCAGTAATTCTTTGTAGGTGAATATTCCTTCATGAACAGTGTTCGGCGGATCGTATCCGGATCTGATCCTGAGCCCTCACGGGTAAGATCATGATACGTCTGAGGTCTGACGGATAGATACGGGTTATATCCGGATCTTCAGGATAATGAGGCTTAAAATATAAAAATAGAATAGATAAAATAACTTATATAACTACTCTTCCCCCTTGTCATCAGCGTCTTCAGCTTCACTTTCTTCAACCTCTAGTATATGACCCCAATCTCGTAAACAGAGTAAATATTGAAGCGTTTCAGGAGAGAGCCTGTTCCTTTTCTTCGTAAGAATATCAGCTCCATTACTAAAGACCCGTTCTGATGGAGCTGATGTTGCAGGAATTGCCAAATGTGTAATGGTGGGTGCACCAGATGTGAGAATCTAGCCACCCAAGGAAGGGATGATTTTACTAAGACAACACACTGTCTTAGAAAAAGAGCCAAAGGGTCATAGCTTAGACTATTCCACAACGCAGCAATCAGGTGTATGATATAGTGGAGTGGTTTAGACAAGTTGTAACAAATGTTGAGTCTGAGAACTCAGGGATAAGTCAGAGGTTAGCACCTCACTGACTTTTCAGAAACAAGGAGTAAGAAGATCAATGCTTGGAAGCTTGGAAAAGACGTGGAAGTATGTGATAGTCGATTTACTGTATTGTCTGCTTGCCCTTTCTTAAGGAAAGGGCAATCCTATTTATGCTAAAGGAGTGTAGTTCTCTCATTTTCCAAGACTTTCCATAACAAACCAGGCTTGGTAACTGTAGTCGACGTAAGAGAATCCCATAGAACCATCTCCTAGGTTCCTAGCCTATAGGAAGTGAAAGGAGGTCCAAGGTCAGAGTACCCCTATAGACAAATTATGTCATAACTTAACCAATCTTGTGGGTAACTAAGGAGCGATGACATGTAATGAATCATAGAGGGTTGTAGAAGCTTTTAGAGCTATCGTTCATGTTCCTAGGCCTCTAGTTGATAGAGATATGTCATGTGTAGTATTAGCCCAGTAACTAAGGAGTGATGTCATGTAATGAATCATAGAGGTAGAGATATGCTATGTGGTCATATCGGCCCAGTAACTAAGGAGCAATGATGTGTAATGAATCATAGAGGGTTGTAGCAATCGTTGAGTAGTATTGCTCTTGTTGTTGGTGTGACAAGCCAAAATATGTATAGTGACTTGAGGTTTGAGCAGGAGATTTCTAAGTTTGCTCTTGAGTTTGATAGCAAACTGAGTGCAACGAATGTCAGTATGACAACGAGCAACCAATCACAGAGCAACAAACAATTCAGAAATATCTTGAAAAGCAAACCCAACAAGCTCTGAAGAATGAACCAGGACACCACTCTCACAGTCGACTGTCAGCTCGGTTCCAGACCCTCCAATCCTCACAGATGGGATAGAGCCAGAATTTGAAGACTGGGTTGTGAAAATTCGCCTCAAGCTCGAAGCCAACATTGATCATTTTCCAACACAGACTTTACAAATGAGCTATATTCAGAGTCGACTGGGAGGACTGGCAGTTCGACATATCAATCCAAGGCATCGACCAAACTCTACAAACAAATTGCAGACAGCAGAAGAAATTCTCGAACTTTTGGAAAAGGTCTTCAGTGATCCCGATCGAAGGCACACAGCTCAAACTGAGTATCGAAAGCTGTATCAGAGAAACAACACCTTTGCAGTGTTCTGGGCTGAGTTCCAAGGGCTCACGACAGAGCTTGATTACTCTGAAGAAACTTTGCTGGATGACTTGCGCTTCAAAGTCAACCAACAGATGCAGAAGGCTCCATCGAGATACTCAAATCCAATTAGAGCTTCACAGTATTCCCATTTCTCAGTGATGAATGTAGCCATAATACCCATGAAGGATTGTCTTGTCCAGGGTAGTGGCAGGCTCTGCTGGGGCGGGCGGGGTTCTGCGGCACAAGAAGCAGGGCGGCCGGCACGGTGGTGGAGGCACGGAAGGGGAGGCGCTGAAGTTGTGGGTGGCGGTTTGGGGGCGTGTGCATTTCTGCTGGTCTTGGGAGGTTGCTGGTGTTTGGATGTTTGGTGTTGTGGATTTTTGGTTTAAAGGTGGTAAAAGGTTATTCTGGCGGAGGTGGTGGGAGTGGAAGTGGTTGGTGTGGTTCCTTGTATGCATTTCCAAGAAAGGAAAGAGTGAGGTGATAACTAGAAGTCGTATGATCCAACGTGGTTGTACGATACCACTTCCTTTGACTCCCCTAGCCCCCGTCTTTTCCGGAGACAGTTCGTATCTCTATCCCCGCGCACCGAACAAAGTGCGACTGTAATTCCAGGCAGTCTTGCCCGAGTAGTACTCGCTCTGAGTAGTATTCGGTGAGTCCCCGAATACTTTGGGTATTCGGTGATATTTATGAGTGAGTACTCCATTAGATGCGGCCCCCCACAAACGCCCAACCACCCCCCTAGACAAACTAAACCAGCTCAACGACACACTGCTTCAGTACGTCCTGGTCTAGGCGACAGTTGTGTTTGGCATAGTAGCTGGGTTCTCGGTGCTGGCGCTTGTGGTCGCGCCGTTTGTGATGGCGTTTATGGCGGTGTTTGGAGGGTGAGGTGATAGGTAGCTTGGGGGTTGTGATTGTTTGGTTCTGGTGTGGATGCTGGTTTTGGTTGGAAGAGGGGAGGAGGGGGGATGTCGTACGGTGATTTCGTGTCCTCGAACCATGCGCTGGGAGGACTAGCTAGCTATCACCTTATTATTTCCTTTTCTAGAAATCGATAAAGACCACTGTACATCCAACTTCTCCTCCCACCTACCTTCACTACGAATACCCATTACCACCTACCACCTCAAAATCCAGCACCTCTAGACGCTCAAAACCTAACAACAACCCCCTTTAAATCACCAAAAATGCACAACCCCCCAACCGCCCTCCACAACTCCTCCGCCCAATACCCCACCCCTCCTCCTCCTTACCAACCGCCATCACAACAAACTCACCGGGGCACGCAAACCACACAAACCACCCCAACTTCCCCTCCTCCACAGAACAGTCCTCTAATACCGTCCCTAACCCTCCTCGAAAAACTCGAGAAGCTCGACACAAACCTAAAAGTCTACGCCCCAGTTATCTTGAGCATCCTCGATACCGTGGCTCCCTCCCTCATCATAGGCTCCCTTATGCTGGTGATCATGGGGTGGTTGATGGTGAGGATAGTAAGGGCGGTGGTTGAAGTGTGGTGGGGGTGAGGTGAGTGGCGTGGAAAGGGGGGGAGGCGGGAGGGGGTGGAGTGAGGAGGGATGGGGGGTGGTGTGAGAGTTGTGAGTGTCGTATGAGGATTAGGTGGAGTCGGATCAGGGGGTATCACCTCATTATTTCCTTTCTGGGGAATGAATATAAACCACCATACCACTTACCTTTTGAAATCCATTACCACCTACCGCCCCAAAACCTACCACCTCGACTCGAACCTCTTGAACTCCACCAACCCCTTAAACCACCAAAAATGTACAACCCCCGCCCAACCCCTCGCCTCCCCCTACCAGCTATCGCCATCTCAACAAACACACCACCGAGGCACCCAAACCCCCTCCCAAACCTCTCCTCCCACCCCACGCGCCTACCCTCCCAAACCGCCCCCCACCCGTCTCCAGAAACTCCCAACACCTCAACACAACACTGAATGACTACATGATAGTCTTCGTGCACTTTTCAGGACTGGTGATGGGCGCGGCGGTTATGGGGTGCTTTGCGCTTTTGATCGTGGGGATATTTGCGGGGGGCCCGTTGTGGGTGGTGTGGAAGGTGTGGAGGGGGGAGTAAGTAGGTGGGTGGGTTGGGTTGTGTTGTGTTGTGTGTTGTTGGGTGATTGGGATGCGTGGCGGGTGTGGGTTGGGAGTCGAGTTTTTGGGGTTGGATGGGCGATGGCGATTGTTACTCTCACATCACCCAATAAAACAAAACACATGAAAAACACCAAAAATTGAAGAAGGTCTTAATATTATCTCTTCCAACCCCATCGAAGATTCCCTCACTCGCTCATGAACAAGTTACACGGAATATCCTCCATCTCCCCACCTCTCAAAAACATGCAAAATACAGCCGAAACGCAGACGTAATGCAGCAGCTACTCGCGATCTCCTTACACTCTATCCCTTCCTTCCTCGTGAATCCCCCTCTCAGGAACACACGGCAGCAAAACTTTAAGAAAAGCTCTCACTTCCAATCTGTTTGTCTAACGCCCTAAAATTCCCCCAAAACAGAATCAAAGCCATGGACATCAAGACCCTTACGTAAAAACGAAGACAAAGCAACCCCGTCGAAAACACGGCGCTTAATCCGTTTTCGGGCCAGCAGCGAGAACATCCTCAGTCGCCTCATCAGAGTACTTCTTGAAGTTCTCGTTGAACAGACCACCCAGCTTGTTGACCTCAGCCTTGAAGCTCTCGTCGCCCGCAGTCCACGCGTTGCGGGGGTTGAGCAGCTCCGATGGGACGTTGGGGCAGGTCTTGGGCACGGACAGGTTGAAGGTGTCGTAGACCTCGTACTCGACGTTCTGGAGCTCACCAGAGTGGATCGCGTCGAGGATGGCACGGGTGTACTTGAGCGGGCAGCGCTTGCCGCCGGTAGCGGCACCGGCACCGACCCAGCCGGTGTTGAGGAGCCAGGCGTTGGCCTTGTGCTCCTCGATCTTACCAGCCAGCATCTTGGCGTAGCGCATGGGGTGGAGGGCGAGGAAGGGCTGGGCGAAGCACGAGGAGAAGGTGGCTTGGGGCTCGGTGACGCCCTCTTCGGTGCCGGCCATCTTGGAGGTGTAGCCGGAGATGAAGTGGAACATGGTCTGGGCGGAGTTGAGCTTGGAGATCGGGGGGAGGACGCCGCGGGCGTCGCAGGTGAGGAGGATGATGTTGGTGGGGTGGCTGGAGGAGACGCAGGGGATCTTGGCGTTCTGGATGTACTCGATGGGGTAGGCGCAGCGGGTGTTCTCGGTGAGAGTGACATCGTCGTAGTCGACGTGGCGGGTATCTTGGTTGAACACGACGTTTTCGAGGACGGACCCGTACTTGATGGCGCCGTAAATATCGGGCTCCTTCTCGGCGGACAGGCCAACGCACTTGGCGTAGCAGCCACCCTCGATGTTGAAGACACCACGGTCGGACCAGCAGTGCTCGTCATCACCAATCAGCTGGCGGTTGGGGTCAGCAGAGAGAGTGGTCTTGCCGGTACCGGAGAGACCGAAGAAAACGGTGACATCGCCGTCCTTGCCCTCGTTGGCGGAAGAGTGCAGGGTGAGCACGTTGTGCTTGACCGGCATCTCGTAGAAGAGAACTGTGAAAACACCTTTCTTCATCTCACCGGCGTACTCGGTACCGAGGATAACCATCTCCTTATCGGCAAAGTTGATGGCAACGGAAGTTGCAGAGGTCATGCCCTCAGTGAATCTGTTCGCTGGGAAAGAACCGGCGTTGTAGATGGTGTAATCGGGGTGGAAGTGCTCGAGCTCAGATCTCTCCGGGCGGATAAGCATGTTGCGCATGAACAGGGCGTGGTAGGCACGCGCGCAAACGACGCGGACCTTGATTTGGTACTTCTTGTCCCATCCTGCGTAACCGTCGATAACGTAGATGCGGTTCCTTGTGTTCAGGTAGTCAATGGCTCTCTCGCGGTTGATCTTCCAGACCTGTGAAAATGTACAGTCAGCAAATGCCCAGTGTTCGTAGTGTTCGTGTGGTGACAAATGTGATCAACTATGAAAAGTGCACGTGATGGTGGGGAATTTTGGGGACCGTTGTCTTGGCGAGCTACGGTTGGTAACTAACGCATTGGCGTTACACAGAAGGCGGGGTAACAGGGCTGTGATGTCAGGTCGGAATCGGCACCCGAGGAAAGCCGAAACATCACCCACCCGCATTATCGGAATGCGACGACAACCAGACGTAAGCGTGCTCAATGCAGACGCATTGAGGTCTATGGAGCACGGGATCCGGGGTAATGATAAAATGTAGACATGTAGATATTCGCAAAAGTTCTCTTACCTCTGTAGTCATTGGCTTGTTAACAGGGCCCCACCAGATCTCGTTCTCAGAAGATGGCTCCTTAACAATACGCTTGTCGAGAGGAGATCTGCCGGTCTTCTTTCCGGAGTATGCAGTAAGAGCACCGCTCGATGTGATGGCCGAACCGGTCTCGTAAACTAAGGCATCTTCGTAGAGGGCGGCGACTGAGGGGTTGGGGACCTGGGAGAGCACATGTCAGTGGGGTTAGATTTCAGAGGGGCAGGTGGGACATACGATGGCAACGCGGTCATAGTCGAGGTTGGCCTTCTCGTGGAGCTCCTCCTCGAGCTCAGTGTGCTCGAAAGAAGGTCTAAGATACACATGTAGTCAGTATATTGATCCGAGGCAGGCAGGTGCGGGGGAAGGGTAGGCAACGACGACGTGGTCTGAGGAGCAGGGGAACTCACGCAACACCACCCGGGTGCAGGGCGGTCTTGTTGACGGTGTTGGAAACCATGGTGCGCAGTGAAGTGGAGTGGTAGTTGAGATTTCCCGATGCAAGTTGTTTAGATCGTGGGCCAAGGTGTGATGGATCGGAAGTAGGGGTCATAGGACGGCGAGTTGGGCCATCGCCTTCTTTAAGTACAGGAGCCATGGAGGGACGATGCTTGTATCTTCGGGAGAGAAACGGGAACTCTTTGGAACGGAAGGTCTAGTCTCGGGACCGTGAGGCTGCTAAGAGATGAGAATGTGGAGTAAGAGTGGTGAGAGGACAAACAGTTCTGTGGTGATGTGGGTGAGAAGAGGTGAGTGGACCAATGATATGAGTGGATATTTGTAGTTGGTCAAGCAAAGGTCCCGAGCCGAGTTTATAGGGAGCAGGAGAAAGTCGGGAAAGAGGGAAAGGGAGGAAGGAGGAAGGAGTAAGGAGGAAGGAGGAATGGAGGAGGAAGGAGGGAGGAAGAGGTTGATGTTAGGATGTTAGGATGGTTAGGGGGCAGTGTAGTTAGGGGTAGTTAGGCGGGTACAGTGGACAAAGAGTGGACTGCAGTGGACAAAGAGTGGACTGTAGTGGACAAGAGGCAGGTAGAAGGTAAACAAATGGACGGAGTTGGTGGTGGAGTGGCAGAGGAGTGGCAAAGGAGCGGGCAGAATATGAGCCGGAGGAAGTCGGAGGCATTTTAATGGGCTTTGGATGACAAAGAAGTGAACGGTCGATGGAGCCAATGATATCGATTGAAAGCTGTGGGTCCAACCTGATTTTGCGTGTTTTTGCGTGTTTTTGTGGTTTTAGGGTGTTTTGGGTGGTTTGCATGGTTTGCGTGGTTTGCGTGGTTTGCATGGTTTGCGTGGTTTACGTGCTATTTTGGTACGCCTGATTTTCATGGGTAAGGTACTTGATCGTTGGTAGTCCATGTCACTGTGACTAAAGTACTCGAGTAGCGCGCTTCTAACCAGCTTACTAACCAGCCACTTCAGTCACTCAGGGCCCAGTCTTTGATAATCCTTGCCGAGCCGGTTCTTCATATTCACAGAGAGCGGCAGTAAGTATCCAAGCAAGTATACCACAATAACGAACTACGATTATCAGTTTCTTCACACTTTTACAGGCATTTTACAGGCATTCTCGGTCTTGAGTCTCGAGTCTTGGGTCTTGGGTCTTGGGTCTTGAGTCTTGGGTCTTGAGTCTTGGGTCTTGAGTCTTGGGTCTTGAGTCTCACAGTCCCCGGTCTTGGTGATGCTGCAGAGAAAAGAAACCGACGCAGAAAACTGCCAAACACTGCATCCAAAAGCTGCACCATCACCCATTCTAGGCCTCGCCCGCATATCACCCACGAAACTACCCCTTGGCACACGACCACCGACCAAACACTGACAAAAACAGCACTGCCTGGGAAGACCACGCCCACCTGATCACCCAGCGATCCTCCCCCCGCCGCCAAACAGAAAATCCCAGGCACGAGAATGACCGCGCCCGGCCCTCACCGACCCGGCTCACCGTCCCATTGAGCCATTTCATCTCATCTCATCTCTTTTCATTGCAAATCATCCCAGGCGTGAATGAATCAATGTCATCACATCACATCACATCACATCACATCATATCACATCACATCACATCACATCACATCACATACCACATCTAACACCCCTGTACACGCCCAGACCGCGACTTGAGCAAGCGCCAATCACCACCGGCACCGCCGAATCACCAATGCGGGGTACCAATACTGTGCAAATGGAGCGCCCTCCTTCCCATACCCGTCTCCCATCGTCATCGTGAGCCCGACAATCCCCAACTCAGCCCAACTACTTGTACCAAGCACGATCAAAGGCCAAGCACGATCAAAGTTGACCTGACAGAGAAGAGCGGAAGTGAAAGCGAAAGTGCGGAGGAAATGCGCCAGCAAACAAGCGAACCACCAAGACCCCCATCCCATCCCACTCCCATACTACACGTCCATCTTTTCCAGAACAAAACACAGAACAAAACACGGGAACTAAACGGCAAATCACTACTTTTCCCCCTTCCGAAACGCACATCCTCGCTCCATCAACTAGCGAACCAAGCAACCTCGATGCCGAGTTTCAAAAAACGTCACTCCTTCCGGCCGCAATTGGGGCGAGGTGCATGAGGAACTGGTATGTACTGCTTTTGTTACAAAGGGAAACGCGCTCTAGACGTACATCCCTGTTGCCAATTGGGGAATGAGGCGATTTTCACGATAATTGTCTATGACACTTGTGGCCGAGAGAGCCCAGCTCAGCTTGGGAGGTAATGTGGCTGCTCCCACGAGGGAGAAGAGGATGGGTCTGTTTCTGTAGACCTTCCCCATACTCCCCCACAAACCCCTCCAAGGTTGCTTCCATCAGCACCCCCATCCCCCCCATCCCCCCCATCCCCCCCATCCCCTCCACCCTCCAAACCGAGAATCAGATAAAGAAAATAATCCGTTCTATAATTAATCCCGCACCCGTTCTCCTCATTACCGAAGTAAATTCATATTGTGCCAGGTAGCAGCCGCCGGACCCGACATTTCCCTAAGGCGTTACAAGCGTTGCATATGCGGATCCACTTTGCAAGTGAAAACGGTGCGTTGACGGGGCTAGGGGGTGGAGGGGATCGGGTGCGGGTCCGATCGTGAAGGTGGTAGAAAGGTGATCCTACTCCGTAGATGATCCGTGATCAGAGCTCCTTATCTGCACCTCGATGGATAAGGGATGAAACTGAGGGGAATGGGGCAAGGAGTGGTAGGGGAGGTAGAGGGCGGATACAGATAGGGGATAGTGATAGGGTACGTCATTGAGGGCGGGAATGGTCCGTATCTCGTCCTAGAGGGGCGATAGGGGGCGTATGGTGACGATGGTGTGGCTCGGGAGGGGCTTGGCGGCGGGATAGGAAGGGTGTTATTAGGGGGCTATGCAGTCGTCCCCAAGTTTGTTCCTGTTTCTACAGCGGCTTCTCCGGTAGGGGGATGCATTCACAGTAACTTCTGCGAGAAGCTGTCATGCTTCGGTATGTGATGAACTACCAGTCTTGGCTCGCGCGGGCAGCTATATGCGACACAGCATAGCATCATGCAATGCATTCAGGTCCGACAGACATGCTCACGTGGAGTCTCACCCCATCTTGGCCAGCGGCAGTATGGTGGTGAAGGTGATGATGATATGTTCATTACTCTACTAACTTCCTCCTCACAACCCCGCGGGAGGCGCAAATAAACGATCTTGAAACGGGGCGGCAGAGCACGGGTCTGCTTGAAGTTCCAAAGATGGCGGCGAATGGTAAGACGTTGCGGCTACGCGTTCGGTTCGCACGCCAAGCATTTACATGATGACCTCGTTGGCGACGTCCTATAACCCCGTTAGCACTCATCCACTCACTCACACCCCCAACAACCCCATGGTCTTGTAGAAGATGGGTAGTAAGTGGAAGGGGGAAAAAGACTCACCCTCTTCAACTCCTTGTACGGCAAACAAACACAGTTCTGCACCCTAACCTCCTCCCCAACCCCACACTCCTTCCCCAAAATCGTAATACTCTGCACCTTAACCCCATTCTTGATGATGCTCGTCGTATGGCTATTCACGGGAGTCGGCGTGCCCTCCACACGCGCCCACGCCCCAATGCGGCTGTTCCACCCGAGAATCGAGTACAGCACGCACGCATCGTGCTTAACCTCGCAGTTCTCCAGGACGATGCTCTCCTTGATGCGCACACCCGCGCCAATGACAGCGCGCGGGCCAATCGACACGTTCGGGCCCAGCTTGGCGGTTGGGTCGACCTGGGCGGTGGGGTGGATGAAGACGGGGGGCAGGATGTTTGCGGATGGCTTTGCGAGCTCGGCCGGGTTGGTCTGCCACGCCTTCTGGAGGTAGAGGGCGTTGGCTGGGACGGCAGAGCCAGCGGTTTTGATCTGGCGCCAGAAGTCCTTGGTCTCGTGTACGAAGAACTGTCTGCTGTCTGCGAGGTCGGCGAGGATGTCCTGCTCGAGGCGGAGGACTTCGTTCCTTGCCTCCTCGTCGTCGTTGAAGTAGGACGACTCGAGGTTCTCGGAGGAGGGGTACGAGTACAGGCGCGGGCGGTCGGAGCGGCGCTTGATGGCGCTGCGGATGGAGGGGAAGATTGTCTCGGTCGAGAAGAGGTACACGCCGCAGTTGATGAGGTTTGAGATGTGGGACTCGGGCTTCTCGACGTAGTGCAGCACGCGCTTCGAGTGCGGGTCCGACACGATGCAGCCGAAGTTCGAGGCGGCGTCCTCGCTCACGCGGGTGCCGAGGATGACGGCCTCGGCGTCGCGCTCCTCGAAGAGCTTGAGCATGTCGTTGAGGGGGAAGGAGCAGCAGACGTCGGCGTTGAGGACGAAGAAGCGCTCGGGCTTGCCCTTGAGGATGGCGTCGCGGAAGTGGTAGAGCCCACCTGCGGTGCCAAGGGCTTCGTACTCGCGCAGGTATTTGATGGTTAGCTCGGGGAACTCGTGGCTGGCGTCTTTGATGAAGTCGCGGAAGACGGTCTCGTCGTAGTAGCCGATCATGCACACTTCTTGGATGTCGGGCACTTTAGCAATGGCGGTCAGGCAGTGCCAGATGATGGGGTGGCCGGCGATGTCAAACAAGGGCTGTTGAGAATTTGTTAGAATTGAGACCTCGTAACTAGGGATTGCATAAGGGTAATTACCTTTGGGACATCAAGAGAAAGAGGTCTGAATCTGGTTCCCCTGGAGGGGCCGCCAACCTGTAAAAGCATCAATTACCTCGAACGGACACCGTATTCGCTGTGTGAGCTCACCAAGATGACAGCCTTGGTGTTATGGCCACCAGCACCTTGCTGCTTCTCTCTGTGTGGGACCTGGAGAGACATATTTGCTATGTGATCGTAGCTGCGCGCAAGGTGTTCCTGACGTGTGTGAACAGATATTATCGGTCGCCTTGTTGTCTGGAACATCCCACCGAGGCACAAGGGGCAGCTGGAAAAATGATGTTCCGATAAAGTATTGGTTCACGTGATAGGTTTGTTTTCATCGTGTTCCATTGTTGGTGGCCAGCCGCCGTTGGGTAATTTCGTACCAGTTTGGAGGTTTTAGATTTCGGTTTTTTAATTGACTATGTATCTCCCGCCGCAATAATTACATGATACTGACGCGAACAAGTACTGACTCGTGCTTGATAACGTTCTTGCGCGCACAGCAGTATTGTCTTCCAACCAAGACAAGAAAACCAAAAAAAATTTGACTTATACGAGAGAGTGGTTTTCACCGCCAGTCACGGCCTCATCACTTTCCACAGCAAAAATTGGTAGGGAAACCTGTGCGACCGTGAATGTATATGAAAAAAGGCCCCTGTGTTGCCTAATCAATACTTGGCTGCAGTAGCTGAGACAGATCGGGCAACAGCCTACAAGTTGGAATGATAGCTCCTTTGTACCTGTTCACGGTTCGAGGACGGAGGAACTCACTCTCAAGATAGCCGAGACGCCAAATTTTGGTGGTAACTGCATCAGCCGCCTGCGTCTGTCCGTGGACGACAAGTTAAGCTTAAATAAGCGCAGAACATCAAATCTCCCGCGACAGTCCGGAGGGTTGTCGTCTCCATTCTTCTCTTCGTAGTTATTGGGCAGGGGGCATTCTCTTCCTTGTATGACTTACGATACCCCCCACATACTTGAGATAAGTGTTGCAATGACGACTCCTTTGCGAAATATGATAGGCTTTCGAATCTCCGTCTGTTCCAAAGCTTCCTGCAATGCTCGGGGGGCTGGTATCCTGCTGTGCTGATGCAAATATAAATTGAGTGCATCTTCCTTCGATTGGACTTGCTTTACTTCTCTTACCGATTGCAATTCTGTGTTCGTATCTCTCCGACAAAGCGGCTCTTGTTGTGCAGTCCGTTCCATTCAAGTCAAGCCCTTAAGCCAAGTCAAATTCACTTCAGCTTCGATAAGGTCTGGATAATCCGGCCGAAGTTTATTTATTGGCTTTATTTCACTCAAACAATTATACCATCCATACATCAACCACCTTTTTACACATTTCATTCTATTCAATAGGCAGTGGTTTAGAGACCCACGTTGCCTTCGTATATTATACGGTGTGATACTTTGCCATAACTCTTTAGCTCGCGTCTATTTTTCTACAGACCTGTTCTTTTAGGTACACAATTTCCCTTTACTTTCAGTTGTTAGTTTACCTGCCCGGGACTCGACGTGAAATCTCCCACAACAAAGCCTCACGCTGAATGGGACTTATCTTTCCAACTTTTGTTTATCTCGCCCACTACATGGGACTTTCTCGCTCACACAACCTATTTCTATTATCTTTATACCATATGGCACAAAACTACTGAAGAAGACTAATTCCCCCCAGAACAAGTCTGTACTTTGCAACTTTCCATGTACAGCGTTAAGGCAGAACCTCCCTCAAGGTTACACCGAATTCCCAAGATGCCTCCAGCGAGATCAAATTACCAAAAGGCCATGGTGGACGATGTCAACATGGATGATTTTAATTCATCTTTCGAAGCCCATGGTCTGCCAGTGCCATCCAGTGATACTTTTAGGTTCACTGGAAATGGGTCCATCACACCAGCTTCTGAGTTTTCTCAGACCCTCCCTGGTATGTTCTACTCAACTCGTGTCACGACCTATTACTTACTATTTAGTTCTACCACCTATGCAACGATCGTCAGCTCCCTCCCAGGAGTCCGGGCTTCATATAGTCGGGCGCCGTGTTCAAGTTCTTGTCGATGCCATCAACGATATCCGAGGAATGGGTGTCGACTATCTTGTTGATCTACCTCAACTTGTCCTCGTCGGTGACCAGAGTGCAGGTGAGTCAACTCAGAACGCTTTGAACCGCGACAAGAACTGACAACTGGCATAGGGAAATCGAGCTTGATGGGAGCTCTTGCCGAGATTCACCTTCCTCAAGACTCGGGATGCTGCACAAGATGTCCTACCCACATTAAGACAGGCCATGCGGAGACGTGGAGTTGCAAAATCTCTTTGAACTTGTCGTACAATTATGCGCCGCGAGACCCCACTCGCCCAATTCAAGCGAATGAAGTCACCAAAAACAACCCCTTCCCGCCGTGGAGGGAGATGGCCCTGGTGACAAAAGAGTTTGTTGTCATCACTGATAAGAGCGAGCTTGAGGAGGCCTTGAGATGGGCTCAGATTGCTATTCTCAACCCCTCTAAGTCCCACAAATACTATGTGCCCAGTGCCCAGAACAACCTCTCTCCCAATAGGAATATGACAACTGAGGCCAAATTCTCGCCAAATGTGGTATCGGTCGAGATGTCTGGCCCGGGCCTTCCTCCGCTATCCTTCTTTGATCTTCCTGGGATATTTCAGAATCCTAGCCAAAAGGAAGATGATTATCTCGTCAAAGTTGTGGAGAATTTGGCAAAGAAGTACATCAAGCACCAACAAGCACTTGTTATTCACGCTCTACCCATGTCAGCAGATCCCACGACCTCGAGAGCTGGAAAGGTCATACGAGATCTGAAAGCCGAAAACCGAACCATTGGTGTTCTTACTAAGGCGGACTGTCTTCAGATTGGTCATTCCGATGCCCAGTTTAAGGAACTGCTGGAAGGGCGTACTCACATGGTTCAGCATGGGTATTTTGTCACGAAACAGATGCAGACTTTGAAGGGCTCAGCCCCCTTCAGTCGTGAGGGGGAGTACCATGCCAAATCGAAGCAAAGTGAAGAAGCATTCTTTGACGAGGCTTATCCTTGGTCCCATGCAGGATGGAAGGGATACCGCAATCGATGCGGGACCGAAAATCTGCAACGAGCTCTTTCGCAGAAGTTCGCTAATCAGATCATAGAGAGGTATGTATGAGATCTTACTACGGCTGGCTCCTGTTTAACTTTATGTTTGTAACATCAGCTCACATAACAACTAGTATCCCTCAAATCGAAGCGACTGTCCGCGCACGCTCCGAGCAGCTCGAAACGGAGCTTGCGAAGCTTCCTGAGCTGCCTACGCATAATATAAGCCAGGTTGTGCTCCAAGAACTCGCCAGGTTCGGTCAGCAAATGCAGGCTCTTTTGGATGGAACCGACTTTGGCCTCCACAGTTCGTGGAATGCGTTAAATAACCAACTATACGAATCTTTCCACGAGCTCCTGTTTCCCATGTTCATCATTAGGGACCCCCTGGATAGCGCTTCCGCCGTTACCCAAATGGAAATAGATGGTATTGAGGTCATCAGCCTCGAAGACGACAGCCCTGTTCTTGATAGAGGCACATTCGATCCGCCGTCTAACGGTCGCGCACCGCCTGCCAAAGAGGAGCCCCAAATTAGATCTCCAAAAAGATTTGCGAATGGTGCCGAGAAAAATCGCAGTATTGAAGAGGAAGTTCCTATCAACCCCTTTGCCAACTTTCAATCGAAAAGGCTGGTCGCAACCATTGGCGAGATTCGGATGACATTAGCAAGATACACCAAACCCGGGGCCCCAGGCCATATCGACTTCAGGGCAAAAGATGAGTTATGTATGCAAAGCGTGAAAGTCTGGAAAGGCCCAATCCAGAAATACGTCGAACTAGTCCTTGAAGTGTCTCAGCAACAGGCCAAGGGGATCTTAGACCAAGTCCTGTCCAAATGGATCCAAACGGAATTGTACAAGGAAGGACTCTGCCACCTTGACGAGTTCTTCAATATGTTCGAAGTGAGCATTAAGAAAACATGCGACGATATCCTCAGCCTTGAGTTTCATAAGCTTTTTACAATCAATAACAGAGCCTTTGATCACTACAAGGAAGTGGAGTTGAAAAAGATCAAGGATGCCCGCAGGAGACGACGCGCAACTATCCTGGCGGAACAGATGATGCGCGGTGTCAATGTTCGGGGAGACTACAACGCAAGGCGTAATGTACTTCAGCAGAAGATAAAGTGTATCAAAGATGAAGACCTCGGTGAAGATCCATTCAGGACCGAGATCGACGTAGCCGGGTTGGTTAGGGCCTATTATCTCACGGCGGCAGACCGCGTCTGCGATCAAATTTGCCTGAATATACATAGCAGCCTATTCAAGCAGGCGCAGGAGAGTATCTTCCGCTACTTAGAGGGCAAGCTCGGACTTGACCAAGGCAACAGTAAGTTTACTTTCCCGCATTCATTGTGCCGTGCTAACGAGATACTAGCTGAGCAGCGCTGTCGCGAGCTTATGGAGGAGGACCCCCAAAGCGCACGACGCCGCCGCGACCTCCAGCAGGAAAAGGCAAACCTGCAGGAGCTCACAGCTCGTCTGGTGAAACTCGCCGAAGATGACAGAAGCGCCTCAGTCTTCGAGGAGCGCACAAAGACTCCAGAAGTCAGTATGAGCATGTAATGTTATGGAGGATACTGTTGATTCGCTGCCTCGATTTTTCTTTCTCTTTCTTCCTGTTTGCCAACATCCTCGGAGCCACACAGTAAAAGCAGTGGCTCGGCGTTCGCCTGGTCTTGTCGCAGGGAACAAAACAATAATTGTGCAACAGCACGGCCAGGCCGGCTTGTCTGAAAAAAAAGCAGCGGCGTATGGGTTTCAGAATAGGCGTACATGCACTCAGACTAGTTAACCCGTCATAATAAATGCAAAACATCCTGAAAACGAGGTTTTTTTCTACTTCCTTTTCCTAGCCAGATCCCATCGTGCTTACGTCAAGCCACACCTGCACAGCCTCATCTGTCGACCGAAGTCTCCTTCCGCAGACCCCTGACCAGCTCAACTCTTGGATTACAAATACTGAAGTGTACGCGCATGCTTCCCACCGTAACCAACCTGCATCGGCCCCTTCCATCCACAAATCCCAAGGCACTCAATCAGCAAGCGCCAGCACTGCGACTGTGCCCTGTTCTCTGACTCCGGCTCGTTCTGACCTGACCGTACTGACGTCTCGCTGCCCCAGAGTGGGCCGCGCGTTAACTTTTGGTAACTTGTGCCTCGATTTTAACCCGTAGCTTGCAGGGTTACCAGGACATCGTCAGGCAGAGAGATTCGTGCAATCGGCCAATCGCGATAAGACAGCAAAGGCCTGACCTGTTTCGGGCTTGGGCGGGTATTTTGGGGGTTCGATCTTTCTTTATTGCTTTGCTGTGTCCCCGGTGCACTTTTTTTTGTAGAGCTTCAAACTATTTTTTTGTTGATGAGGCGGTATCTCTGATTGCTTTTTTGTCTACGCTGTGAAAGGATATCTTGTGGTGCATTCACAGCTGCTTGGAGTCGGTGAGAGCTTGCCGCTCATATACTACACCGCAACTTTCCGGCCGGACTACTAGACCAGTGCCTCCCAACAGCATTTTGGGTGAATGAAGCTGGTCCTCAGCCCGGGCCACTAGAATCTGGAAATTACGCACTATGGAGACAATAACGATCGTGAACAAGTCAGGGAAGATCGTGGGCACAGTACCAATAAAAGCTCCCTCCCTCAGAGCCACCTCAAGGAGCTAACGAGTCCACAGAGCAAGCACCTCCTCAACATATTCAAAGAAGCGAAATACGCATACCAAGAGAAGAAAGCCGAGATCCGAGCAGAGATACATGGCAAGAACGAAGAAAAGCTAGTGAGGAAGCTCGAGAATGCCAGGCTCGAGGAGTCCAGATCCGTAGGTTCGTCGAGGCGTTCACACCGCAGCCATAAAAGCCGCCGGCCGAAACACGAAGGCGAGTCGTCGAGGAGACCAGCCACAGCTCTTACGGAACGGAACCTAGCTGCTGCGTCTGAGGCGAGTGGAAGCGTGGCGGGCTCAAGGCATGGTGGGTCCAGACCAGCTACGTCGCATCGATCGCCAACAGTCTACCAAGCCCCATACCAAGCACCATACCAAGCACCATACCAAGCACCATACCAAGCTCCATACATCGAAGACTACAATGCCTCGAGACCTACCCTCGTCCGACACCACACCGATTTCCCTCCTCGATACGAGCCCGCGCCTATGGGGTACAACTATCACGACTATCCACCTCCACCACGGCGCTCCATGACCTCCCCGAATCCCAATCATGGCGATGATATCGATATGAACATGGCATATGGCGAACTCCCGCCCGACCTGGCTATGCAAGTTTACCCACAACAGCGAGAGCAGCAAAAACAGGAGTTAAACGGCCTTATGTCGAAGCTTGACCACTTGATGGTTGAAGCGCATTGCGTGCAACACACCGCTACTACTATTATCGCCTCATTACAAAAGAACCCCGACGCAATGGCAGCGGTGGCCCTTACACTCGCAGAGATCTCCAATGTTCTCACGAAGATGGGCCCAGGGTTCCTAGCCGCGATCAAGAGCTCCTCGCCAGCCGTGTTTGCACTCCTCTGCTCGCCGCAATTCCTCATCGCTGGCGGCGTCGCGGTGGGCGTCACGATCGTCATGTTCGGCGGCTACAAGATCATCAAGAAGATCCAGAAGGATATCAGCGACAAGAAGGAAGTGGACGAGAGCTATCGCATGGATGAAGCTATGGTTTTCAACGCAGATAACTACAGTATCGAGTCTTGGCGCCAGGGGATTGCGGAGGTCGGGGCGCAGAGTGTCTCGACCAGCGTGGATGGGGAGTACATAACCCCGAAGGCGGAGATTCTGCGCAAGCAGCGGATCAGGGACAGGGCAATAGAGGAGCGGTCTGGTGCGCCGCGATCGCCGTCGGTGGGCACGAGTAGTAACGCGAGCACGGTCAGGAGGAAGCCGGTGCCGGTGTATATGGATTCGAGCCGGACGGTGGTGACGGAGAGTGCGCGGACGGAGAGGTCGAGTCGGACGTCTAAGACGACTAAGAGTCGGAGGAGAGCTTCAAAATCCGAAGCGGGGAGGTCTGAGAGCACGGTGAAGCCGAAGAGGGAGAAAGAGGGGAAGGGGAAGAAACCGAAGAAGCAGTCGGCGATTAGTGTCCTGTTTAAGGGGTCGTCGTCGGTGAAGAAGGATAAGAGTGTCGTTGACAGTAAATGAGCGTGCGATACCAGAGCGAGCGGAAATACAGGGGAAATACACAGTGGGAATCTTTTTGGGGGTGTTCTTGGAGCAAGGGTTTTTTTTATATTATACGCATGGTTGCGAGACCATCCACCTCATCTATACAGATGCCTTTTTTATATAGAGGTACATATTTTGTAAAAAATACAGGAAATTAAATCCAAATGATTGGTGAAAAAGGGCGAGCTAGTCCCTACCGATACGCCGGTCCCAAATGCCAATTGCTCCCCATCGCCGCTACGATCTCCATATTCACAGTCCAGTGCGCAATCTTCCCAGCACAAACTTCCCATGACTCTAAGAAAAACAAAAGAATAGTCACTGCCAGCCCATTTAGACTCATATAAATGCCTCCATTTTCCCATTTTCACCTGCCTACATTATCGTTCCTATCTCCCATAATAGAATTGGAGCCGCATCGCTACGAACCTCGGCCCACCTTGCAGTTATAATCCGGAGAAACCATCGCAACCTACATTTTTTGCCCATAACCATTTCCCCCACGTCAACCCGATAATTCTTTCGCCGACACGGGTAGAGGAATGCGTCTGTAGATACGAAGCCACACTGCGCACAACTCCGCGCTCCTTGTCCAGCATGTCCTTCGACCCGTCGCAATGCGTGGGCGACTGCCCCTTCTGCACCATCAGCACCACCTTCGCCGCGACCCCCCCATCCGCGCCAGTAGCCTTCAACGCGGATCTGGTCACGCCATCCGCATTCGTGGTGCTCAGCACGCCGCTGGTGATGGCGTTTTTGGATATCATGCCGTTGTCGCCGGGGCACTTGCTGGTGACGACGAGGAAGCACCATGAGAAGGTGTCGGATGTGACGGATGAGGAGGCGAGGGAGTTGGGGTATTGGTTGCCGGTGCTGAGTAGGACGTTGGCGAATGCGACGGGGGTGTGGGATTGGAATATTGTGCAGAATAATGGTAGGTTGGGGCTGGCTGCATGTTGAAGCACCGGGGCGGGGGGGCGGTCGGCGGGGGGGTTATGGGGCAGATGGCTAATATGTGTGTGTTATAGGCGCTGCTGCTGCACAGGTTGTGCCTCATGTTCATTTCCATATTATTCCTCGACCGGCTTTGACGCCTGAACTTCGCAATAAGAGCTTTACTATGTTTGGGAGAGGACAAAGAACGGACCTCGATGAGGAGGAAGCCGCCGAGCTGGTTGAGAAACTCAGACAGGAACTGGCCAAGGAAACTGGGAAGCCGAAGATATAATTGCCACATCAGCTCTATCCAAAATGAAGTAGGTGGCTGGACGAATGGGATTGTACAACATAATGCCTCTCGGCGAGTGTCATTTATACGATAGTTTGCGTTAAAATTGGGGAATGGCGGATTAAACTTGGATCTACAAGCGCATGTTGCATAGATTACGGAGGGTTAGAGATGGGATTTCGGATACCGCGAGAGTTTATTTAGAATATTTGATAGCGATATTAGATGCCGTGAAGAGACACAATGTGGTACCTGGTGGTTACCGCCACCACTAACTAGCTTCCGTCGTAACCACAAAGCTGCCTCTTTGGAACTGTGTTTATCTCACCTCCACAACGTAACCACCTAGTCCTCGCAGCACTTCTCGAGCCATACATCTACCTCATCTCCATAACCCATCCACCTCGTCCTCCCACCTCTTCTTCCACTACCCCACCACCACCACAATGCCCAAAATGGAATACACCCCCCTCACCCCCACCCCCTCCCCCCCCCCATCCGCCCCCGCCTTATCATACACGGCGGCGCCGGCAACATCCTCCCCTCCAACCTCCCCCCCGCAGACCACCACGCCTTCACCACCGCCCTCCTCCACATCCTCGCCCGCACCCACGCCTACCAAACCACCTCCCCCCTCCCCACCGCCCTCGACGCCGCAACCCACGCCGTCACCCTCCTCGAGAACTGCCCTCTCTTCAACTCCGGCCACGGCGCGGTGTTCACCCGCGATGGGACTAATGAACTCGAGGCTTCGGTTATGGTGTCGAGGGGGCTGAAGAAGAGGGGTGTTGGGGTTATGGGGTTGAGTAGGGTGAGGAACCCCGTGGAGCTTGCGCGGCAAATGCTGTTACGCGGGGAGACGGACTTAGATTCCGGGAACGGGGAGCACCGCGGCCCTATGATCGCCGACGAAGAGGGGGTGCTGATGAACGCCAGCGGGGCACAAGGGCACTCCCAACTCTTCGGCCCAGGCGCCGAGCGCCTCGCCAAAGAATGGGGCGTCGATCTCGTGGAGCCCTCGTTTTTCTTCACACAGAAGCGGTGGGATGAACATGTTACCGGCCTGGAGTGGGAGAAGCAAGGCGGATGTGCGACGTGGGATGCGGATGTGTTTGTGAGCCAGGGGACGTGTGGGGCGGTGGCGCTGGATGCGGAGGGGGTGGTTTGTGCGGCGACGAGTACGGGGGGGATGACGAATAAACTTGCGGGGAGGGTGGGGGATACGCCGACGTTGGGGGCGGGGTTTTGGGCGGAGGAGTGGGAGGGGTTGTTAGAGGGGAGGGGGCGGTGGTGGAGGTGGAGGGGGCGTTGAGGGGGGTGTTGGCGGATTGCTTTCCGGGGTGGGGGGGGTTGGGTATTTGCCCTTGGGGGAGAGGTGGTGCCGAGGGGCGGGGATATAGTGGTGAGGGCGATGGGGATATCGGGGACGGGGAATGGGGATTCGTTTTTGAGGACCAATGCTGTGAGGACTGTGTCTGCTATTGCGAAGTATAGGGGGGATGGGTCGACGACGTCGCTGGGTGAGGCGCTGAGGGAGGTTACGGGACCTGGCGGGGAGTTGCAGAAGAGTGCTGGGAAGAGGTGGAAGAAGACGGGGGAGGGTGAGGGAGGAATGATTGGGATTGAGTGCGCTGTTGTTAAGGGGCCTGATGGGGAGGTTAGGGGGACTGGGGCGTATGTTTTGGCGGAGTATAACTGTGGTGGGATGTTTAGGGCGACGGTGAATGAGGACGGTAAGGCTGTTGCGAGGGTTTGGAATGAAGGTCAGTATGAGGGCCTGGGAGGGTACGAGAACGAAGGGAAGGAGTATGACCCTAGGGATTTGAAGAGGGAGAAGGCTTGACGGAGAACACAACATGTCACGCCAGTTGAAACTATACTGTACATAGATGCCACGGCTATAAGTTTCGAATCTGATTTCATTATCTTTTTAGCACAAGTATCCTTCTACACATATATATATATAATACACCGTTTCCCACCACCTATGCAAACAAACACGTTTTAAAAAATTCCCAGTCCAGTGTCTCGCAGATATGCATAGAAGAGTTGAGACGCGGTACGCGTTCGATGCGTATCGGAAGCAAGCTTAAGCCAGGGCTGGCATAGCCTTGCTGTCGGAAGGAGGAGGTGGTGGTGGTGGCAACTGTGAAGGAGTGTTAGCAAAAGTCGAAGTGAAAGGGGACAGAAATACGAACATCTAATCTCGTGTTCTCCGCCATCATCCTCTGGAATCCGATTCCGACACCCTCGATAACTGCGAGCAGGCAGGCACATCCTATCGCCGAGTTCCTCGCCGCCTTCATGCCGCCTCTAACAGCCAACGCGCCTCCCGTGAAAAATCCAGCAATAACTGCGAACGTGTCAGCACAACTCATCTCCCCAGTCGAAACTCCGTGCCAGGAGCACAGCACTCAGCGGTATGGAGAACATACTAGCATTATAGGGATCCTCCTTCTTGCGAATCCCCTTCACCGCGCAGTCAAAAGTCGAGAACAAGCCTCCCCAAACACCAAAGTTTCCACCCAGCACAGGCGCTCGCGCCTTGATAGCCGTGAGCGCACCGATCCTACGCTCGCCGTATGGCGAGTTCCTGAAGCCCTTGACACCGTGCCATACAGCGCCTCCGATGGCCTTGTCGGGGAGTCAGCAAAATTTCGATAACAAGGGGGACGGACGGGGGCGCCAGGGCTGTCTTACTCCCATGGAAAAGGCACCGCCGAAATCATTGAGTGCCACCCACGGACATGGGTCTCGGGTGTGATCCATCTTCTATAATGGCTGTATATGTCCCGCTTCTCAAATCCCCCCAAACTCCTCGAAGGCCTGTTGACGGACGGAAAGTTGCAAGGCTGGCCGGTTCGGTCGGCGTCGGAGAGTTGTTGGCTCCTTTCGGATTCGCGAAGGAGATGCGTGTGGGTTAGGTGGTATAGCGGCCTTGGTGATGAGAGATGGGGCCCGGGGGTTGTCGTCGTTCGGCGGATCGTGGGAAATTGTTAGATTGGCCCTTTTTTCGATGGAAGCAAGATGATGCGGCTTAGAATTTACTAGCGCGGTCGGAATGGTTGCCGGTAGGTTCCGCGGGTGTAAAAGGCTACGGACATTTTGGACATAGTTGGAATAAGCAAAAATGGTGGCTATAAAAATACAAATTTTACTATATCGCTGCTTCTGAGGCTTTATTAGAGGAAGCCGTTTGAGTTATAAAACATTTCTCAATTATAGGAGTCATATTCATGGTGCCAGGGACCTTGCGCCATCATGGGCGCAAGGTCCTAATGAGTCACGTGCTCAGGGATAGGAGGATGATCAAATTTGATAACTGACTTGTGTCTCATACTCTCCAGAAATCAAATCACGAATTTGAGACTTCCAAGATCTATCACGGACTCACCGCCCCCAGTCCTATCCATCCTCCATTCCCAACAGTTAAAAAACCCACCACCAACAATGATAAACTGTCAACACTGGTAGCTGTTCCATTGGGCACTTATCCAGCTATCGTGCGCTTTTCGAGGCCTTGGTTTGACAGGACGAGCTGCCCAGGATAAAAACAAAAATTATCAGTTTCTCTCCACCATGGCCACGCCACGTCTTTTCGACGTGGCACTCGACCTTGAAATGTCATCTCCCATATTACCCAAACTAAACAAGGCCACTGCACGATCAATTGCAGTTAGCCAATATATCTGTAGCAATGTTCCTGACGATCCTCAAACAATTACTTGGTAGCAACTTCCTTTATCCAGTTATGATAGGTAGTATACGTGGGGAGAGTCATGCTGGCTCTACTGCGCCATGTGAAACCCCAAAAAAAACATGGAGCAAACGGACTGGAGAATCGCTCCTGTCAAATGAACAAGGGGTTAGTCTGTCACTCTCTCTTTCCTCGAGAGACTCTGTATATAAATTGAGAGATTTCGCCATTAGCCCTGGTTCTTGCGCCATAAGGGTCCAGTGTCCAGCGTCCGTGATGCGAGAAAAGCTCTGAATTATGCCAACCCAAGCCACTACCCCCCAAGAATATCGTCGCCTTGAGCGGTGGAACGCCTGCGCAAGAACTAGCAGCTTCAGAGATTCTGCAATCGCTCGTCTGATGCCTCTGCAATATCGTAGTGTAGAGGGTCTGGTGGATCATGGGCCTTCACTCGACTCACTCCGCCGCTACTGGAGCAGCTCCAACACTAGTAGTAGTGATCAAGACAGTGGTAAGCAAGCTCCTTATATATTTCCTTTCGCCGCTCTTGTGGACAAATCTAGCTTCAATTTGTGATCCAGTCAATCTTCAAAGATCGAAGCCTTCGCATTTGTGCTCAAGTTCGCACGTATGTATTGAGACGGTGAGCCTTGATGTTTGTTGGTGGAGAGGCCAAAACGAATCGAGGTTCCCTACCTTGCAAACTTACCATCACCGAGAACCGACGTGGGGTTCGAGCCTCAACTCTACACAAATGGAACATCAAGGAGGGAGCTCCAAGAGAGGAGAACGCTCTCAGGGGCGCAATGTTTCTAACATAATTGCAGAAGAAGCTCTCAATACCCCATCCAGCGAAGATGGCGACCGACACATCACAGCGGACCGATCGACTCTAGCCCAGAGCGCATACGCAGACGAGTCATCGCCAGAGCTCTTTCACCGGGTCCAGCACGACAGCTCGATCCTTGCACTGACGGTTTCCGACAAATTCATATACGCCGGAACACAAGATGGCGACATTCTAGCGTGGTCGCTGGCTTCGTACGAACTCGTCGCCCGGATAAAAGCACACAAACGAGCCGTCCTCTGCCTCACTCTGTCGCAAGATGGCCAGCTCCTCTTCTCTGGCGCAGGAGACGCCATTGTCAATGCATGGTGCCCATACAGCCTCAAGCGCAAATACCACATCTACAGCACGTACGATGTTGGCGACATCTTCAGCGTGGCGTACTCGACCCAATTCCAAACCATATATCTCGGAGCGCAGAACACAAGCATTCAATGGTGCAGCCTGAAAGATTCGGATTCCAGGCAGACGCCGAATGAGGAGGGACACCCAGATAAGCGGAACCACAGGTTCTTCGACTCCAAGCAGGCTGGGGCGAAAGGGCCAACTCGCTCTGCGTCGCCTGGGCGCTCTGCTCAGTTGGCGACTGGCGGCGATATTCTCGAGATTGACCAGGCGCATATGAAGCACTACGCACACTTTGGATATGTATACTGCATGCTCATGGTGCGTGGTGCGAGCAGGCTGGTCGAGCCGGATGAGGAAATACTTATATCTGGTGGGGGTGATGGGTCGATCAAGCTTTGGAAGCTCAGCGAGGATCCAAATGATGTGATTGAGGAGATTGCTTGCCTCGGTGAAGATGATGCGGAGTCTGTGCTATCCCTCGCCTTGGATGGATCTTTCCTATACAGCGGAAAGCTTCGGGGCGTCATTGAGTTGTGGGATTTTGACACTAAGCAAAAGCTCCGGGTTATCAAGGCTCACAATGGGGATGTGATGGCTCTCCAGATGGGCTGGGGTTTCCTATTCAGTGCTGGGGCTACCGGATTCTCAAGGGTAAGTGTGGCTTGTCTCGTCCATTGGCAACTGGTACTAACAGAACCTCTAGAAATACAGTACCGTGCAGTATGGCCAGTACAATCGGAGCTCGGAAAACTTCTCCCAGAAGTATCAGTGCATGAACCGCTGGAAGAGCCATGAAGGCAAGGTTATGGCATCCGCGACAACCAACTACAACGGCCAGCGCTTCTACATTACCGGAGCTAGCGATAGCTCAGTATCGATTTGGAACTTCAGCGAAAGCCACCCCAGGGCCAACAGTGTTGGGGAATTCCAAGAAGACGTCCTTATTAAGTCACTGCAGGAATTTGTGTCCTACAAGACCATTTCATCGAGACCTGATCACGCCGAGGATTGCCGCCGCGGTGCCACTTTCTTGCGAAAGCTTTTCAAGAAGTATGGTGCGGAGACTGAGATGTTGAACACTGATAACCACCACAACCCGGTGGTTTTTGCAAGGTTCAGCGGGAAACAGGCCATATCTGCGAAGCGCAAGAAGATCCTGTTCTATGGACATTACGATGTTGTTGGTGCCGATGATAAGAAGGGAAATTGGATTATCGACCCGTTCCAGATGAAGGGCATCAATGGCTACCTGTATGGTAGAGGAGTGTCTGATAATAAGGGGCCTATAATGGCGGCATTGTACGCTGTTGTCGACTGCAAAAACGAAGGGTTGCTTGATTCCGACGTTGTATTTCTCATCGAAGGCGAGGAAGAGTCTGGGTCGAGAGGGTTCATGGAGGCTGTCAAGCGCAACAAGGAGCTTATTGGAGACATCGACTACATCTTACTTGCAAACAGTTACTGGCTCGATGACGACGTTCCATGCTTGACATACGGTCTTAGAGGTGTCCTCCACGCCACCATCAGCGTTGACAGCAACCACCCTGATGTCCACAGTGGTGTTGACGGAAGTTTCATGATGGATGAGCCGCTCTTCGATTTGACGTCCATCCTCTCAGAGTTGAAGGGCCGCCACAATCACATCAAAATCCCAGGGTTCTACGATAATATCCTACCAGTGACGGAAGCCGAAGAAGCCCGCTACGACGATATTACAGATACCCTAATCCGCCGAAACCCCGAGCTGGGACCAGCCTCCGCCCTCAAAGCATCGCTAATGGCTCGATGGCGCCAGCCCAACCTAACAGTCCACCGCTACAAAGTCTCCGGCCCCGAAGGCTCCCTCGTATCCTGCCACGCCAGCGCCGCCATCTCTCTCCGCCTCGTCCCAAACCAAGAAGTAGAGGATGTCATCGAGTCCCTCAAAACCTACCTCAACGCCGCCTTCCAAGAACTAGACACCCATAACCATCTCACCATTACCATCGACAACCAAGCCGAGCCTTGGCTCGGAAACCCCGATAACGCTATCTTCCAGACTCTCGAAAAGGCAATCATGGAAGTCTGGGGTCCCATCGATCCTCCTACCCGGCCCTCCCCCCGCAAAGACACACCGAAACCACAGAGTGCTATACAAGCCAGCCCAAGCCTCAAACCAACGCCCGCTACGGCTAACCTCCTCACCAATGGCAACGATCACACCTCTCTCGCGAACATGCGTGAGCCTACGCTCCCCGCTGACGGCGACGAGGCGCCAAAGGGGAGGAAGCCGCTGTATATCAGAGAGGGCGGCAGTATCCCCAGCATCCGCTTTTTGGAGAAGGAGTTTGGGGCACCCGCGGCGCATCTGCCGTGCGGGCAGGCGAGCGATAGCGCGCATTTGGATAATGAGCGGTTGAGGTTGACGAATCTGTTTAAGAGTCGGGAGATCTTTAGGAAGGTGTTTGTGGAGCTTCCTAAGAAATGAGGAGGGGGGAAGGAGTAGGACATTTGTTTGGATTTTTATGTCTTTGTTTAGTGTGCAGTGGGGGTGGGTAACTATGCGTTCCTCGGGTGTGGCGCTTTTAGATAGGGCTTGGTTGGATCTGGATAAGCCCTTTGGAGTTTTCAGGCTGGCGGACTTGTTTTCAGCGGGTAGGGCCGGTGGGATGTCTGTTCTCAGGTTAATGTAATATTAGATGAACACCGGCGATTCGCGGAACACGAGTTCGCATGCCCATATGAACTCCTTGTGCTCCTTTATGTTCTTGCCACGGTATTCAGGTGGGCATGCGAAGGCTAGCATGGTTACGGCGTTGGGGGTAGGTCGACTGGCTCCCTTCTTCGTCGTCGGATTCAGAGCCGGCCTGGCGTTTTGACGACGATTCAGACCGTTGAGGTGGGGCTCGCGAGGGCTGACTGTGGTTCTCGTCGAGGTCCCCCCGTTGGAGCTGGTATTCGAGTTCATCGATGCGGGCTTGAACCGCTCGCTGTTCGAGTTGCTTTCTTAGTTACGCTCTCGTTGGAGCAGGGCTTCTAGTGGGTCCTGCTCGTCGTTCTCCGGGTGGGGTTCTCCTCTCCCAACTGCCTCGCTCTCAAGGTCTGTCGACGGTGAGTCGTCCCTCCGTTCGTAGGTAGTTGTTAAAAACTAGCCGCTGGCTTCCTATTGAAGCCAGCTCCGTCCTACATATACCCTTGTGCCGTGCTCTCCTTGAACCAAGGCCTTAGCGACTTTGGTACTCCTCTTGGTTATCCTTGGTATCCTCGGCCGGAGCCCCTGACCGTGACAATTGTCGATATGGAAGAGCAAGCGCCCCTTTGTGCGAGGATTCGAAACTGAGTAGTACACTTCTAAATGTCACTGTAGGAGAGTACTACTGACTTCTCCAACCCAACCAATATTCCAGGCCAAGCTGCCTATTCATGACAGATGGGACGACTGTCTCGTAACTCATTGTATACGTCGGTTTTTTGTTGTCTTCCATACGAAATGCGGTCGGTTGCCATCGTCTCCCCAAACCCTTCGTCTTCCCCGGACACGACAATTATGGATAGGATAGGATTGGATTCTTTGCTGTTTCAAAGTATATTATGGAAAATTTGAATTTACTCGATATATTTGGGGCTACAGTACATTAGATGCCTATTTCTTATTTTTTGTGCAAGTTCTGTTGTAACGGACGTACTTTGTCGTGGGCCATACCAACCAATCACCATAGCACCCGGTTCCGGAAAATACTTTAGCCGAAATACGGGTAAGCTAACTTAAAGATGAATAAGGCACTGGTCACTACTCCCGCTCTTCCTTTCGACAACCCGATGCCCGATGGCCAATACCAGCCCCACCGATTACAAGAAACTCTTTTTGCAGGCCGAAGAGCGAGAGAAGCAGGAAACAGAGAGACGGAAGCAAGCTGAAGAGTGAGAAAAAAATGCTAAGGATAAAGAGAGACAGGAAAGGGAGCGCAATCAACGAACGACTTTTGCAGAACTCATGCGCTTCTGCCACAGTTTACTCTCCCGATCGTTGAGAGTCGAATCACCATCTCGCTCGACTACAGGGAACATACCCCTTCCCACCGGTAAATATTGCCCCACACGACTAGCACTGTGGACCGATTGTTCAGCTCGACAGCAAAAGATCTACAGCTCTGTGTGCAACTACCTCCAGCCTTCCCAGGAAGCCCGAGCACGTTTGTTTACCCCCTTGATTGCGCTTGAGGAGGATGCAAGACGATTCGGTCTCCGTCCAATTAGCAGTGAACAAGGTCTCGAGAACTACGAGCGAACTGCCGTGGAAGATCACGTCCGTGATATAATTGCAGAGCTATGCAAAATCGACGCTGCCCGAGACGAATTCGGACTTGAGATGGAATCTGGTTCGACAATCACACCAACTCTTTCAATCCACGCGGCGGTAGCGAGGCAAATGCAGACCAACCATCAGGCATACATCGCCCCCGACCCGATCAGTTCTGCATCCACCGAGTCGACGGCAACACTAACACCCTCCTCACTACGGTCGAATACAAGCCTCCCCACAAGCTTTCTATGGAAGCACTTCGCGTGGGGCTTAGGGAAATGGACTTATGGAAATGCATGGTCAGATCAAACAAAATCACGACGAATCACGCGGAAAAACTGAAATACAATGCAGAGCGGCTCGTGTGCTCCGCCATTGTCCAGGAATACCATGTGATGATTCAGGAGGGACTCGAGTACTCTTATATCACTAACGGGTCGCCTGTGTCCTTCTCCGCGTTCCATACGATGATCCTAGCACATTGTACTACTTTCTCTGTGATCCTAACAGCAAACAAAGTCTCCAAGAGCCGAATACCTCCATCGCCAGGGTTCTGTGTCTGTGTCTGATGGCGTTCCATTCCCCTGTTCGTGACCAGGAATGGAGAAATACTACACAGTCGCGTCTTTATTTGTGGACAACTAGCTTCGACCACGCTCGTTCTCAGATCCCTAAGGAAGTCTTAGAGCAAATCACTCTGCACTCCGATAGTACCAACTCAGAGTATGTAAGTCCAGAACCGGGTTCGGACTACCAACCATTATCGCCTCCACTAGAATCTCCAACAGCAGGTCGCCGAGTGCCCACGAGGTCTCAAGCCAGCTGTGCCCCATCAGATGTCCGACACCGGATTCAGTCGCCAGAATCGTCAGGCTCCGACTCGAATCAAGCGACCGCACGCAAACGAGGCTTCAGCCAGGTCACATCTTCCCCTTCCGCGCAACGAGCGGCTCGTCAACGCGAGGCTGGGAAAGATCAAGGCAGCCATTCGAAACGCCATGATGCACAGTTTTGCACCCAGAGATGTTTATTAGGGCTGCAGACGGGAGGTATCCTAGACGAGTGTTGTCCAAACGTGAAGCTTCATCGTCGGGGTCAAGATTTCATCAAACACCCCATCACCTCGGAGGATTTGATGGGTTTACTAAAAGCACAACTAGACGAAAACATTGACCGATGCATACCCCTTGGAAATTGCGGGGCATATGGTGCGCCGTTTAAACTCATTTGTGCTAAATACGGCTATGTTGCCTGTATTTGTGTAAAAGGGGGGAGCTTACCTGGTTTGTTCTTGCCCACTGGCGGCTTTTAGCAACAAGGCCAGCACAAAAGGGGGTGTAGGCAAAGCCTTCACTAATGGCCTTTATAGCTGTGGTAAGACGGAAGGCCCTCTCGTCCATTACTCGATGCCATAACGCATCAAGAAGTTAGAGGATTGGGAGCTCCCAGTCCTCTACAAGCGCCTTGTTGATGCTCTCTACAATATTAGAGGTGTCATGGCCGTATCGGCGGCCAGCAAAGTGGGCTTCTGCCCATTTAGCTATGTTAGTAGCACGTAGCCAAGCTGCTGCTTCTGGCTTCGTCTCCTCAAGCCTCGCCAGTGCATAGTCACAATCTTGGGGCGTTTGAGCCCTCGCCACAGCCCAGAACATTGAGGCGACGCTAGTGTAGCCAGCCTTCTCAAAGTTGGCTAAGATGTGAAGGCAACACCATGCAGTTTCCACCACAGGACCAAGGATCCTCTCAGCCTCAAGTAGGCCCTTATCACAGTCTGAAATGACCGTGCAAGCCTCCGTTGAGACTTGAGGGATCGCCCATCGAAGATGGAGGAAAAACCACTCCCACGACAAGCGGTTCTCCGACTCCACCACCCCCCATGCCAGCAGTGTGTTGTGGCCATTAGCATCGATGCCAACAGCAAGGAGGAGGGTTTGGATGAAGCTGTAATGGTGGGTGCACCAGATGTGAGAATCTAGCCACCCAAGGAAGGGATGAATTTACTAAGACAACACACTGTCTTAGGAAAAAGAGCCAAAGGGTCGTAGCTTAGACTATTCCACAACGCAGCAATCAGGTGTGTGATGTAGTGAAGTGGTTCAGACAAGTTGCAACAAATGTTGAGTCTGGGAACTCAGGGGTAAGTCAGAGGTTAACACCTCACTGACTTTTCAGAAACAAGGAGTAACAAGATCAATGCTTGGAAGCTTGGAAAAGACGTGGAAGTATGTGATAGTCGATTTACTGTATTGTCTGCTTGCCCTTTCTTAAGGAAAGGGCAATCCTATTTATGCTAAAGGAGTGTAGTTCTCTCATTTTCCAAGACTTTCCATGACTTACCAGGCTTGGTAACTGTAGTCGACATAAGAGAATCCCATAGAACCATCTCTTAGGTTCGTAGCCTATAGGAAGTAAAAGGAGGTCCAAGGTCAGAGTACCCCTATAGACAAATTATGTCATAGACAAATTATGTCATAACTTAACCAATCTTGTGGGTAACTAAAGAGCGATGACATGTAATGAATCATAGAGGTTCGTAGGAGCTTTTAGAGCTATCGTTCATGCTCCTAGGCCTCTAGTTGGTAGAGATATATCATGTGGTAGTATGAGTGATGTCATGTAATGAATCATAGAGGGTTGTAGAGATATGCTATGTGGTAATATCGGCCCAGTAACTAAGGAGCGATGATGTGTAATGAATCATAGATGGTTGTAGCAATCGTTGAGTAGTATTGCTCTTGTTGTTGGTGTGATAAGCCAAAATATGTATAGTGACTTGTAGGTTTGAGGAGGAGATTTCCAAGTTTGCTCTTGAGTTTGATAGCAAACTGAGTGCAACGAATGTCAGTATGACAGAAGCGGCCCTTTAGAAAGGTGCCATCAACAGCAACAAAGCGGCGGAGTGTAATGGTGGGTGCACCAGATATGAGAATCTAGCCACCCAAGGAAGGGATGAATTTACTAAGACAACACACTGTCTTAGGAAACAGAGCCAAAGGGTTGTAGCTTAGACTATTCCACAACGCAGCAATCAGGTGTATGATGTGGTGAAGTGGTTTAGACAAGTTGCAACAAATGTTGAGTCTGAGAACTCAGGGGTAAGTCAGAGGTTAGCACCTCACTGACTTTTCAAAAATAGAGAATAACAAGATCAATGCTTGGAAGCTTGGAAAAGACGTAGAAGTATGTGCTAGTCGATTTACTGTATTGCCTGCTTGCCCTTTCTTAAGGAAAGGGCAATCCTATTTATGCCAAAGGAGTGTAGTTCTCTCATTTTCCATGACTTTCCATGACTAACCAGGCTTGGTAAATGTATTAGAAATCAAGTGCGACCCACAACTAGCTTGCTAATCATGTAGTGAACGTAAGAGAATCCCATAGAACCATCTCTTGGGTTCCTAGCCTATAGGAAGTGAAAAGGAGGTCCAAGGTCAGAGTACCTATAGACAAATTATGTCATAACTTAACCAATCTTGTGGGTAACTAAGGAGCGATGACGTGTAATGAATCATAGAGGGTTGTAGAAGCTTCTAGAGCTATCGTTCATGTTCCTAGGCCTCTAGTTGGTAGAGATATGCCATGTGGTAGTATTGACCCACCCCCTTAAGGAGGAGATTTTCTTAATAACTTGTTCAATGAGTGTCCAAATGATATGCCGTGATGTATGTAGCATAAACAGATGTAGTAGAAGAGTTTGCAGCAATCGTTGAGTAGTATTGCTTCTGTTGTTGGTGTGATAAGCCAAGATATGTATGGTGACTTGTAGGTTTGAGGAGGAGATTTCTAAGTTTGCTCTTGAGTTTGATAGCAAACTGAGTGCAACGAATGTCAGTATGACACGGAGGAGTCGGAAAGTGCTTTGCGATTGCATAGGGCAGACAAAGATCTGACCAAAGCGGCCTATAGCTTAGTTAGCTAGGAAAAGAGGGGGAAACAAGGGGGCTTACCTGTCTCAGGGTGGATCTGAAGATCCACGTATACTCCAGGAGACTTCTCTTGGAGGAGGTCTCGGTATTCTGGTAGCAGCTGAAAGCTGCGCTGGTGTGCACTGATATCCTCATCAAGGAGGCGTTGATGACAGAGATGGGCTACTCTGTAGCTAATCTCCTCACCAAATCATACCCGTAGGCACTCCTGGATCTCACGAGGCTTCGTAGCCTTTGTGATGTTGGGTCCGCATTTGCAGCAGCCCCTTTCTTTAGCACGCCGCGGCCGAGGCAGTTGTGCTCGCTCTCCTTGATGGCAAGAATGAGCAAACCATCATCCCCCTTCTGGCACAAACCTTCCAGTTGCAACTCTCTTCTGCACAGCAGTACGTAGCTGCAAGGGGGGTCTTCTTCGGTGTCCGGAACATGAACTTGTCACAGATCGCCCAGTTGCTAAGGGCTCTCTGGAGGTCTGCCCAGGTTTCAAAGGCAGACCCGTCTTCAGGCACTTTGAGGTGGCTTGACGAAGCCATCTTATGCCACAATGAGGGCGGCGGCTGGCGAATCAGCAGGACGGCGAGGGAGGTAGCAGTCAGGTGAGTGTTGTACAATTATCACTTTCGAAGAGCTGGCGGTGAGCGTCACGTGGTGGCTTATTAATCACGACAGGGTAGAATTTTCATTACGGTCAAATTACAGGGTATAATTTTCATTTACCGATAAATTTATGGGCAAAAACTCTATATACCCAGTTCCATCCCACGTGACCCACCCAAGCCCAATCTAGAAACTCCCCCCATTCTCATATGTGCCTGGCGTGTCCGAGCCAGCCCCGACAATGAGCAATGGAAGCTCGTCGTCAGGGCTGGCTCGGACACGCCAGGCACAGCCCTCCTCAGGACAAACGGCGGTTGCCCCGTCTTTGTCCCTCCTCTGGAGCCACCAGGAGAACTTCTCCTTGACGGCCCAGTCGTCCAGGGCGCGGGACAAAATGTCCAAGTTGAGGAACTCGCTATCGTCGACAGGGGCAGTGAGTTCAGCTAGGAGGCGGGGGAGTTTGTGCCTCGCGCGAGGGCTCCCGAGGGGGGTTTCGAGGGGGTCGGAGGAGGGAGGGAGCCTGGGAGGTGTCAGCGGGGTTCTGTGGTGGAGGGGAGTGTTACGATGGTCACAGAGGTCAAGAAGCCAGTCCGGAGAATAATAAGCTAGATTGAATCTAAAGAGAGAAGAAGAAGAAAAAGGAAGGAAGGTGAGGCTATTCCTCGTAATATACAGTTGTCCGCTTAGCGGTTGTAGCCTTGGTGGCTAAGGCTGCAACCATAACAACCATAACAAGCTGTAAGCTATAATCGTAACAGGGAGGAAGGGAAGAGGGAGGAGGTTTGGGGGTCTCAATTGACCCCCGACTTACCGTGCAATTGAACTGGTATATTGCCAGCTCAATTGCTTCAAAAAGGCCATATGAGAGCATGTACTCTCAAATGAGAGTACGACTCTCATTGGCTCGTTAACCTTTCCAAAGGAGGGTTAGCAGCCAACTGGGTAGATGGAGTTTTCTCATCAGTTTACTGGGTACAGTAAAAATACGATAAGTCAATGCCTCAGATCCACAAAAATATATCGAGTTAATGCATATATCGAGTAAATGTATTACACGTGATTAAATTAAAAATTGAAGCTATTTACATAAACCATGAGTCTATGTAAATAGCTTCACCTTTGTGAATTGGCTTCAAGAAGCCTTAACTGTCTATCAAAACATTCAAAAGAATGTAAGAACGTTGGTGCTTCTGAGGTGTCACTATTCCCAGATTCCGTAAACTCAATCAGAACTTGAATGGCGTTAATCGCAGCTTGTGTAGTTGGCACAGGCTGTGAAGAAGGCTCATCCTCTTCCTCATCATCTTGAGTGGTATCTGGGACGTATTGTGACATGATATCCTCAAGAATAGCATCCCCCCCCTGAAAATCCTCCCACCCCTCTAACTCTTGTATATCCTCATCGACTGGATTTAAAAAGCTCGAAAGATCCATAGCATCATGTACATTCCCAGCTTGTTGTACTTGTTGATAGAGATTGGTAATATCAGGAAGAGGTTGTGAGGGTAGTTGAACTGGCTTTTGAACAATCGTACTCTTTCGAAAACAGTTATAGATTGTCGAGTTTGTAAGGTCGTGATTCCAGGATCGAAGAAGCCATCGAATAGCAAGTCGTATATTCATCGTTTGGACAGGATCTTCATTCCTTTCAAAAGCTTCAAGGATATAAAGGAGCCATTGTCGACGGTAATGAGCTTTGACAGAGGCAATGATACCTTGATCTAGGGCTTGAAATCGACTTGTTGCATTTGGAGAAAGCCAGATAACTCGGATATTCGCAGAGGGTGGTGTCGATTCGAGGGACTTGATATGTGCTGAAAAGTTGTCCATGGTGAGAAGAACCTCCCGTGTTGTACCAATACGAGCATAAAAAGCCCTTAACCATTCTGCCATAATAAACTGATTCATCCAAGCCTTCTTATTCCACCTCCAAACCCCTCCCATTGCTATGACGTCAATGTTTCGTAAAGCTCGAGGCGTTTTCGCCTTGCCAATAAACCAAGGAGGACATCGATCAGTACCAGCAGCGTTACAACAGAATACGACAGACATCCTTGCCTTGTCCATCTTCCTTCCTACTCGAGCCTCCATTGTAGAAAGCCCACAAGATGGCATCATCTTCCATATAAACCCGTCTCATCCATGTTATAAATGTTGTCCTCTAAATACTCCCCAGCCACTGTCTGAATAGCCCTCATTGTTACGATATCAAGTGCGCCTTGCAGCTCGAGTGGGGGTTCAGGGGTGTGGGGAGCTTTCCGGGGTTGGAGCGAAGTTTTCAGTTGTGGAGTGAATTCTCAGAACTGGTCTCGCTAAAGAGAATTCACTCCACAACAACATAGCTGTATATAGATCGAGCCACTGCTCGAGTGCTCCTCTTCTCTTTCCTTTCTTCTCTAGATTGAGTTTAATTCATAATACCCAACTGGCGCTGTATGCCTTGGTGAACCGTGACACTCATCACGTCCTCTGCTGTCTCACTGACTGATGCCCCTTCTTCTTGCCTCTTTCTATTCCGGATGTTGTGATGTAGACAAAATTTCTGTATCCAAGCAATGCTAAACTCTGGCGAAGGCTTCCCTTGATATTGTGGTAGTTGTGACCAAATTCGCTTTGCCTTCTCTTTGTAATGGTGGGTGCACCAGATATGAGAATCTAGCCACCCAAGGAAGGGATGAATTTACTAAGACAACACACTGTCTTAGGAAACAGAGCCAAAGGGTTGTAGCTTAGACTATTCCACAACGCAGCAATCAGGTGTATGATGTGGTGAAGTGGTTTAGACAAGTTGCAACAAATGTTGAGTCTGAGAACTCAGGGGTAAGTCAGAGGTTAGCACCTCACTGACTTTTCAAAAAACAGAGAATAACAAGATCAATGCTTGGAAGCTTGGAAAAGACGTAGAAGTATGTGCTAGTCGATTTACTGTATTGCCTGCTTGCCCTTTCTTAAGGAAAGGGCAATCCTATTTATGCCAAAGGAGTGTAGTTCTCTCATTTTCCATGACTTTCCATGACTAACCAGGCTTGGTAAATGTATTAGAAATCAAGTGCGACCCACAACTAGCTTGCTAATCATGTAGTGAACGTAAGAGAATCCCATAGAACCATCTCTTGGGTTCCTAGCCTATAGGAAGTGAAAAGGAGGTCCAAGGTCAGAGTACCTATAGACAAATTATGTCATAACTTAACCAATCTTGTGGGTAACTAAGGAGCGATGACGTGTAATGAATCATAGAGGGTTGTAGAAGCTTCTAGAGCTATCGTTCATGTTACTAGGCCTCTAGTTGGTAGAGATATGCCATGTGGTAGTATTGGCCCACCCCCTTAAGGAGGAGATTTTCTTAATAACTTGTTCAATGAGTGTCCAAATGATATGCCGTGATGTATGTAGCATAAACAGATGTAGTAGAAGAGTTTGCAGCAATCGTTGAGTAGTATTGCTTCTGTTGTTGGTGTGATAAGCCAAGATATGTATGGTGACTTGTAGGTTTGAGGAGGAGATTTCTAAGTTTGCTCTTGAGTTTGATAGCAAACTGAGTGCAACGAATGTCAGTATGACACTCTTGTAAGATCTCCGCAGTTGTAAAACATCCTTTTAAATCGATTCGTTCTTGCTACTCAAAAAGAATAGCCTCAATATCTGGCCAAGCCACTTCCCGTCGACATATATTCATATCGTTCCTCTTCCCTATTGTTGGTGTATTAATCGGATCATCAAGGTTGATAAATCGGCTGCTAAGGGATTCTGAGACTGTAGATTGACTAATTCGAATGTTGTACTTCTCAAAAAACCAGGCGATACAATCTTTTTGGGAAGGTCAAGGTGTTTTGTTGACGGTCCATTGTCGAAGAGCACGACGCTGTTCAATCGTCATCGAATTGAGCTTTCTCGAAGGCATTCTATAAGATTCAAAAGATTAGCATAAGTCGATATTCAAGGAGGATCTCACAATATCGGATGTATTGTGTTTTGTATGTAAAAAGCTTTCCGTACAGAAAAAGATATCGAGATAACGTAAATATCGGCTAAAAGCATATCGACTTATCGTATTTTTACTGTATATCGAGTTTTTGCCCTAAATTTATTGTTTCCGGGCCTAGTGGTGGTGGTGGGGTGAACTACGCGATTTACGCCATTAGACGACTTACGCCATGACCTACGTTACTTCTAACTGTCTACTCCAATATTATTTTAACTTACACAATTCGAAGCCCTAAATCCAGTATTCATATAAATACTGGATTTAGGGCCTTGCTGGGCTCCAGCAACACGAGTCCCCCGAGGTAGGCCAAGGAAGGAAAGGATGAGAGTAGGTGAGGGCCGTGGCCCTCGAGGATTACACCATGAGGATATGAGCCCTCTAGAGGGCGCTGTAGACGGCGCAGTGCAGCACCGTTCCCGCAATGCTTGTGGGAACTGTGGCGACCGGGACGGCCACAACGCTGGGAGCTGCCGCCGGCCTCATACGTGATAGAGGCATCAGAGAGGTTTATGGGGGGGCATAGGGGGCTTATGGGCAGCAAAGGGTAGAGGAGTAAGGGAGGTGGTCGCTGTCGCTCTTCATGGCGACAGCAAGGCTGACGGCAGTGGGGGACGGTGAGCGTCACGTGGTGGCTTATTAATCACGACAGGGTAGAATCTTATTTATAAGTCATAGTTCACACTGTTTACACTGTTTACACTGCATTTATGTTGAGGGAAAGAGAATGGCGGTTTTTCCCACAATTGTCGGGCTCCCCAATTGGCGCTTGGTGCAAGCAGGTTGCCTCAGAACTCCGACGCATTGGGTTTCAGGCCCAAACACTTCTGTTACTCAGGGCGTTTGGGTAGGCCCTCCGAATGACATAAATAATACGTAGGCTCCGTAGGTAGTGTAGTAATTCAATTTTAATCAATTTGTTCTATGCAATATTTCGGTCCTTCGACCAACAATTTATTGCCAAGCTTTATGATCATATGACCTACGTTAACGATCCCTCGGTCCCCACTCCCAAAGTATACGTAACCTGCCAACCTTGCCAACCCAACCGCAGCTACGACTCCGACAGCAAGCATACCCAACATTTCTGCAACCTCAGATCGTTTTCGGAGACTTGTGCAACATAACACAGAAATAAATGTATGTATGTCTCCCGATTCATGGATCCGACTGGCCCTTCTAGACAATACCGTACCTGTGACCGCCGTTCCTAAGCACAGCTAACAGCCCCCCCTCCAGCATCCACCACCACCCAAACCACCGACAAAATGTGCCAATCCACCGCCCCATCGTTCGTCAATCGCAACGGCCCCGGCTCGGCGGCATCGAACACTATCTCGAGCATTGTGAAGCCTGAGGCACCCAAAAAAAGCTGTATTTCTTGCGATGGATATGACTGTTGTTGCATTCCGCTACCGTGCTCGATTATGTGAGGGGTGTTGCTGTGTAAAAGAGGGGATGGAAAGGAGGGGAATATATTGATATCTGAGGCTTTGGTTGTGAGGATCTGAGGATCTGGGGACTGGTGTGGGGGAGATTGATAACTGTGCACTTCTGCTGTGAAAATCTGGGGGATTAGCGGGGGAAGGTTGCTTGCTACATACCGCTTGGAAGGGGAGGGGGATACTTGAGCGACCTTGCTGTTTACAGTTTTTGTTTGACAAGGGGCTTATTTATGAGTGAGCAAGTACAGATGATATTTACAATAAATATTGTTGCAATTCCATCTGCATGGCACTCTATTTCAACGCCTCTATTGAAAGCGAACCCCCCGCAAGGTTTCATTGTTCCTTTTCCCAGTAAGCCACCTATAGTAATACTAACAAGACGCTGCGAAGGTGCTTATGGCCCTCCCATACTTGAAAGGAGAGCCTGCAGA